AGTACTTGAGTGGAGGTCCAATATCCATCTGCTGCCTTAATACTAAATCTATAAATAGATGCACACAGATCTATTTCCCCACCATCCTATATAAATATATTTACATATGTACATCCCTATATTTAGACCTCTATAAATGCCTGTTGCCTCCTAGTTCCTTCCTTTATTTTCTTTTTCTTTCCTCTTGTCCCCCTATCATGCTCAGCCTTCGTTTGGGTTTCAGTAATTTCTCCCAGTTACATTGCCCTTGCTAAATCCCTACCAAGCCTCTCACACCCTCCTGGCCACTAGTTTTGGATCACTTGTTGCTCCATTGTCCCTGGGTTGGTCAACACCACCTCCTTACCCCCGCCTCCCCCTCTCCCACGTCCCCCGGAACCATCGGTCCCGTTGTTTTCCCTTCCAGACTGTTCAACCAGCCTATCTTTATCTAGATAGATCTGCAGAGGTAATATGCACCAAAAATCAAGGCATAGCAAGACAGTGAAAAAAGAGAACACAACGATGACACCAAAAATGAACACCAATGAGCCAGAAAAGAGTAAATTAATTTAAAAAACAGAAAAAGAAAAAAATAATAATTTAAAAAAGAAAGGAAAACCTGTAAATAGATCAAGGTCTGATTTTTGACCTCTAGGCATGTCCTCCAGTTGAGTCCGATGGGGTGCCACACCCTGGCCCAAAGTCTATCCTTTGCACTCCCTGGGAAGCTCCCTGCTCTGCTTCCCTCGTTGCTCTGCCACACGTCTTAAGTGTTTTGTCTCGGTGTTGTGGGGTCAGACCGGGCCAATCCCGACACTGAGTCTCCAGTGTTGTCCTCCATAGAGCCATGCGTCAGCGAGGGGCGTTGTGTCTCATAGTGGGATCAGCCATATGGTCTACTCTGTGCAATGGCTGTTCGGAGCAGGGATATCATCCTCCAGGCCTGGTGGGCCAGGATGTGCTCCACTCTCTTCCTCCCCATTCATTTGCTCCCATGTGATCTGATCAGACATGTCCCGCACCCCTAGCTGCAGCTTCAGCGCCATCCTCTAAAGTAAATTCTTCTGGGGAGAGGGACAGTTGTCCATGTAGCTGGTATTATTAGTAAATGTTTATAACAACTGATCCATTTAATCTGTAAAGTAGCTCTACAAAATATTATTTCTACTTTAAATACTTTAAAAAATAAATAAAAGATTCAAATTAAGAAATTTTCAAATAAAGTATGAGTAGCAACTTGTCACAGCACTATCTTATAAAACCAAAATCAAACCCAAAGTCATCAAGTTGATTCTGACTCAAAATGACTCTGTAGGACAGACCAGAACTTAGAACTATTGTGTGGGTTTCCGAAGCTGTAACTCTTTGCAGGAGCAGAAAACTTGTTTATCTTGCCCCCAAGGAATGGCTAGTGGAGCCAAATTGCTAACCTTGTTAGTTTGCAACCATAAGTGTAACAGATTACTCTGGCAGGGATTCTATTAATCTACTATACTGTATTGTCCATTACATGTATGCACACTGTTTATCAAAATAAAATAACAAAAACCAATATTCTAAGCCATTGTTTTATTCTTTAAGGCAAGAACATGACACGATATGGAAACTCCATCACAGAAGGGATCACTCATCCAGGGAGCAGGATAGCACCGATAAAGCACACAACATTGCTCTAGCTCTTTAATGCTTCCTGCCCCCACTATCATGGCCCCAGTTCAACCTCACAAACCCTCCTAGACTGGATTGTTTACATTGGTACACATAAGAGCTTTCAACACATGGAATTCAGGATAGAGAAACCCCTCAGAGACAGTAATGGGAGGAATGATTCCATATGGGTATGGGAAGGAGGGTGGGGGGACTGATAGCAATGATGGATGTATAATCCCCCTTGAAGGGGAGGAATAACATAACTGTGAGTGAAGGGATACATCAGATGGTGTAAGACATGAAATGTGTATATTTTATTAAGGGTTCACAAGGGTAGTAGGGTGGAGAAAGGAGGGAATAAAGAGGGGCCGATATTAAGGGGCTCAAGTAGAAAGAAAATGTTTTGAAACAAACTATTTATATGGCAGCATCTATACAAGTTTGCTTGATGTAATTGATTTGTGGATTGTTATATCTGTAAGAGGCCCCAATAAAAAGATCAATTAAAAAAAAGAACATAACATTATAGTCTCTGTACATTAAACAATTTTATGCAATCATGGTGCCAAATAAATGAGCTTGCAATTATTTTATTTTCTAATATCTTATTTGCCACTACCATCCCCAAGAGGTCTAATAATGAAGTACTATATTTTCAAATATCTCCTATACAATTAACAGTCTTCATTTTTTCCTTACAGATTTTATCCGTTACAGATACGCTTCACTTTGTGTAGTAAAGGCTTTTCCAAGTCTGCGCCTACTTTACAGACTGAAGGTAGTGTCCTCTGTCATAATAAGTACAGAATTTGGAAGAGAATGGGCCTCCACCAACCTACTAATTTCCATGAACTAATCTCTATTAGTGCCTATGAGAAGCAGGACCGGCTCGCCAACACAATGTATGCTATGCCTCCCTTCGCCCCCGAAGCCTCCGTGACCCCAAATCTAGGTGACACGGTCATCAACACTGCCATGTGGTATGTGGCATGCACTGAGTGTAAAATAACCACTGTGTCACAATTTGCCTACTGTCTGACAGAAAATGCCTACAGGAGATTCTCTGCAGCCGACAGCAATGAGGGGCACACCACCCCATGTGGGTGTCCTTTACTGCTTCTGTAATTCTGCTCACTCCACTCACCACAGCACTTGTGTTAACACACGTAGGCAGCGCTGTAAAGCTATGAAACAACAGACTGCTCTGTCTCGGATACTACGGAGTAGAACAGACGCCAGTGTTCCCAGTGAGTTGAATATTCTTTCCGTTGCTTCTTACAAGAAAATGTCCTGTGACACTTTTTCCAAGACTCAGGTACTTTTTACAATCTCTGATCCAACAAAGGGTATCTCCAACTCTGAAACTATACATTTTTTAAATATCATTTTAATGGGGGTTCTGACAGCTCTTATCGCATCCACTATATCCAGCACATTTGTACATATGTTGCCATCATCATTTTCAAAACATTTTCTTCTACTTGAGCCCTTGGTATCAGCTCATTTCCCCCTCTACCCCCACCCCCGATCCCCTGATGAAACTAGATTGCTAAACAGAGAGCTTGGGAGTCAATCTTATGGTCCTAAATGCAACTTTCAGATAAGTGATTTTTAAAGTTTAAAAATCTCACAAACAACAAAGAAAACCCTCATGTGGTCTATGTTTTCCCTGCATGTGGCCTGCACTCTAATTCCAGCCTAATTGAAAGAGAATCTACTAATTTGCCTTTCTTTTCCAATTTCCACTAGAATGCAAACTCAAAAGGAAGAAACTTTGTCCTCCTACGAACAGTGCATGCCATAAAATTCGTACTGGTTGGACAAATGGTCCAGTGTCTATCTAAGTCAATCACGTAAAGCTCAGCATATGCTCCCTAGCTTATAATGCTTATGTCCTAGTTTCTCAACGAAAACGTGTCCTCGAACGTCAAGCCTTTCCTGCCTTGTCTCTGTATGCTTACAGCAGTAACCGAGTGTGTGCAGCTCAGGACAATTCCACCATGAAAGAATGAAGAGGATCATTCATTCTGTCACCAGGCTAAGATGCATTCATTATTCAACAATTAGGATGGCAACTTCAGATCAATTGTGTAGAAGGAAAAGTGATCTCTATTTTTCCTATCTTTGCTCTCTTCCTTGTCTCTTGAAGCAGATACAGAGGTGAGACAAGTTAAACACTTGGAAAGTGTGGCAGGAAGAGTGGTTTCCCAGGCTTAAATTGCTTAAATAAACTGGGATTTTTGGAATCCATTTAGAATCTGGCAGTATGTCTAAATATTATTATTGAGAAGTTAAGAGTATTTGTATTCTTAAGTGCTAGAGTATTTCTTTCACACTATTAAAAGCTGTATTTCTAACTGCGCATTCTTCTATTGTACCTAACAAACTCTTTCGTCCTTTGAAATGTTAAGAAATTTCTGAAAGGTCAACTGCAAACCAAATTTTAGCTTGTGGAAGATGAAAGCAGAACTGGATAAGCATTTCCAAAACTACTAACTAGGCCTAATTTTCCATCACCGTTAATCCACAGCTCTGCTAAGTCTAATGACCAGCGACGTTTTTGAATGAAATGTTTTGAGAATATGGAGCCAAATAAATTGGAACCAATCTATAAAAAGGGAAGCACTGTTCCACAGCGAAATCTCCCACTTACCCTGTGATTTTATGTCCATAGTCACATACGGAAAACTCCCAAGGACAGCCATGACCTCTTCATACTTTTCATCTTCAAGGAAGTGCAGAAGATTGTGACGATCTGATTCTTTTAAGCTCACCAAATCCTGGATCGTTTTAATTTTGTACTGAATTTTTAAAAAGAGAGGGAAAATAAGCTTCTAATTCATAAAACTGCATATGAGGAAAAGTATCAGCATATTTTATAAAATAAAATTCAGTAAAATCAGCAACTCTTTAGGGCAATTTTGAGATTATAGGCACTTAAAATAGGCACAAAATTCCTTTATACTTTCATGACATAAGTAACCTTTCATAGTGCCTATGCCATTTATCCTTTTATTACTGTTATTACTGCTATCTTAATACTGTTAATATTGTTATTATATATACTTTCTGTTATTATGGGACACATTTGTAATGTCTACATGGTGTCACCTGGGTGACTCTATTGCGGGTTAGAAAGGTCCATCTAGTGTTCAGCGTTGGATTCTCCCCAGAGTTACAGGTCTCCTGCCGTCACACGGCACCATCTCTGTGTACACCTGTCTCTGTCTCTCTCTCTCTCTCTCTTTAAAAAGAATTACTTTCTTCGGACAAACTCCCACTACAAGAACTGCTGAGTTAAGGAGTTACAGCAGTTATTTTTATCTTGAGGAACAATGCTACCTTGTTTTCCCAGACTATCAACTATCAAGCCTTTCAACTTCTAACCCCTAAAACCACAAATATATTTGCCAAGATCAGCACACACTCTGATCCTTTTACCTTCTTACTCCCAAGACAAAAATCGAAGGAGTCTTACAGATGTTATAAAACCTTTCACTCCCTGAACCATGCTGGTTGTCCTCAACTCTGCCTTTCCTAGATTTCATGATGCAATCACAATCACTCAGATACACGTCTTCCTCTTTCTCAAGTATTAAACGCTGCTCCCAGGTGTCAAAAGTCACTTTCTTCTCCTTTGCTGCACGTGCTCTCACTTCAAAACTAAAAAATCACCCATTCTACAAAGACTAGGTTAGACAGTACGTCATCATTCTTAATTTGTTGTTTTGCTTGGTTTTGTTTACTGTACATTTTTATTTTTATTTGGAATGGTGGTTAAATTTTAATCGAATGCTTATTTGACACTGACAGTCTCTTATTTAACCTAGAACAATCGTATTAACAGTTTTCTTTTAAAATAGAATCTTTTTTTTATCTGCTGAAATTAGTACCAGAGTAGACTAATTTTACTCTAATGCTTAATCTTTATGTAGGATTTCACCATCAATACAGAATGATTTGTCCTAGAAAATGTTTTCTCCAGTGTTCCAAAGGCGTGCTATATGATTTTTCTTCTGAAAGTAAAGAAGTGAGGTACTTTCTGTTGTTCTGTTCTAGAAAATTTATGTCCTCAGAAGGGCATCTCGGAGATTTGATTCTTGATAATTATTTCATTATCTTCTTCAATTAATAAATGTTGCCAATTTTCAACTTCATAATATTATACAAAGAGGTGCACAAAGGGAACTGGAAAAAAGCTCTGCTGGGCAAAACTTTCATAGAATGCATTTTTCCTGCCAGCAGAGCATTGAGGTAGTGTACCCAGGTGTGACCTGGAAAGGTTCTCTCTGATCACAGTGAACTTTTTTGTAAAAGCATTCACTAGAACCTCGTTTTATGTGATGACCACTTTAAGAGAACAGCATGCAGCTGTAAAATTTTGTTTCCTGCTTGGGAAAAATGCCACAGAAACTGTTGTGATGTTCAACACAGCTTACAAGAACAGGGCTATGGGGAAAAAACTCAAATATACAAGTGGTTTTCTCATTTTTAAAAAGGTGCAATGTCAATGGAAGACAAACTTCCTTCTGGACAACCATCAACTTCCCAAACGCATTTGTTCCATCAAGTCCAACTGTTAATCAGCTTCCTATTTCGAGCAGCAGTTCTCAACCTGCGGGTCGTGACCCTTTCACAGGGGTCGCCTGATTCTAACAGCAGCAAAATTATAGTGATGAAGTAGCAACGAAAATAATTTTATGGTTGGGGGGGTTGGTCACAACATGAGGAACTGTATTAAAGGGTCGCAGCTTTAGAAAGGTTGAGAAACATTGATTTAGAGGTTCTGCAAAGATAACAGTGTGGGACAAAAAAGGTCCAATTTGTGGCAGATGGAGGACTGGTTTTGCCACCACAAGGCACCTGCTCACGTAGCCATCTCAGTGTACCAGTTTTTGGCAAAAAAACAACAAACAGCATGCCTCCCTTGCCCCAACACCTGACCTCATTCCTTGCAACTTCTTTTTGTTTCTGCGAAGCAGAGGGGCATGAAAGGAGAGAATATTGATAAAATAGAAAAGGTGAAGAAAAAAAATGAAGGAGGTGCTGTCAGCTATCCAAACAGATGAGTCTGAAAAATGTTTCTAAGGATGGAATAGCAGATTTGACAAAAGTTTTAAGTGTAAAGCGTACTTTGAAGGTGATAAGGTTGTCTTGTAAAAAAAAATTAAATACATAGCTTTTGGGGGGGCGAAAAAATTCCGGGGGTTTTTTGGGTACACCTCATATATCAATTTTCCTGTTCTAAGACATTCACTTTTCCAGAATTAGAACTGTATAAAACATTATATATTTGTAAAATCAACTTCTGTTTTAACTTTTAATTTTATCATTTGTTCTTAATTACATAAACCAAAGATTTATCTCCTTTAGAATTGAAAAACACCTCTTAAATTTAATTCTTAATGAAAATGTTTGCTTTTTACCCAGTCTAAATAGTTTATTCTTCACTATTTCCTTACTACGTTTTGCTAACTAAAAATAGTTAAATGAACAGTACCATTTTTTCAATTTTAATAAGAACCTTCGGCATGAATTCACCTCCAAGTGCAGTTATATACTCTCAAGGTTTTACAATGCAACATTCTCATTTTTATTGCTTTCTAAATATTATAGTAATGCTCACCTTGGCTGGATGGTTACTTGGGAGAAAGTTCTCTAATTTCCAAGTGTTTAGTGCTAATTATTTAATTTTTAATTTTCACTTGGATTAGATAAAGCATGTGGAATTCCTATTTTTCAATTTTTAATTATTGCCTACCATGAGTACATTTACAAGGGTGACGCAATTGCTTGAAAGGAGAGAGTATTGTGATAAAAAATGTCTAATACACATTTATTCATTCTACCTTATAATATCAAACTCAATGTCTATCTTCTGTCCACCTGAGTATATTTAAGATCGATCATACTTGCCGTTTCACTCAATCTTTCCTATACTACCTCAAGCATTTCATTCATACATCGTTTTGGCTATCTTTAAGGTTCATTACCAGGTCTTCGCTATTGATCATGTTTTAGACGTCAGAATTACCTTTACCTAATCTACTTATTAATTGAATGTTTCATTTTTTAAACTCATACTCAACCAATAAACCTTTATCCTGTCTTTAAGGCAAGAATGAAATAACGAAAAGTGCACAGTGCAATTTTCACTTAGTGCACGTTTTGGGTAACATTTGATAAAATCACATAAGGAACACAGCATTAATTGTTTACATCCATTGACTCTCTAACTACTAAAGTACAGCTATGTTATCAAGAATTTTCCATTTCAATGGAAAGCACCAGAGAGCACTTTAGAATGTTTAAGATATTTTCAATCTAAGAATTCTTAATAACCATTTCTAAGCAGCTCATGCTATCTTTATTACTTGACAAAAAAACTGCTAAAAATAAACATTAAAGTAGCAAAGAGATACCTTTTTATGGTTAGAAACCCGTCTAAGATTGTCCTCTTCAATGTGAGGGAGTTGCAGAAGGGGAGACTTGAACTGCTGAAGGCCTTGAACAGCCATCTGAGAAAGCTTCATGCAGTTTTCTAAGGATGCCAAAGTTGGAGCACGAAACTCCCTTTCTTAGAAATAGGAAAAAAAGAAAAAACAGAGCTGGGCTTTTTACATGCTCAGGAGTATACAATTTGTCACAAAAACCACGATTCATGCTAATATTCTTAACAGCTCTAACTTTTAAAATCAGTGTTGATTTTCCTTTGAAAATTACTAGATAAGATACTAGAAATGTGCACACTATGCAGTAACAATGATTTAATAGAATAATTACTTGTATCACTTCCAGTAACAGTAAATCACCAGGAGTCATCCTAAAAACTAAACCTCAGCAAAGTAACTGCCACCCAGTCAATTCTGAGTCAGACTGATGCTAGAGGACTGGGTAGAACTGCCTCTGCTAATTTCAGAGATTAACGTTTTAGAGGAATAGAAAGCCTCAACTTTCTCCTGCGGAATGACTGGTAGTTTCAAACTGCTGACTCGCCCCATGCATAACTCACTACACCACCAGGGCCTTCCTTAGGAACCCTCCAGTACAGAGAATAGACAGCCACCGTCCAGAACAATGAATCACCGCCTCCTTTATAAGGGTCTCCCTGTTCCGTTATGGACCACAATCCCCTTTCTTGCCCTTTCATTAAAAAAAAAAAAAAAGGCACTATTACAGCAGTTAAAAGAATTAGTTCAAACTCACTGTTATAAAACAGAATAACCTAACTTCAAAAATATTCAGAGGAAGAAAAGGGATGCTTAAAATCTCTACCAAGTAAACAACTAAAAATGAAATTCAAAAATGCAGGAACTTCACAGAAGAAAAAATACTGGAAAGAATCTGTAAAACCATAAGCAGTAATACAAAGAGTTGATAGGATTGATAGATGAATTTCAGGAAGTATACCCCAAATTTTAAAGCTTTAAAACCCAATCTGCATATTTTGCAAGAAAAAATACATAATAACATTTCCTAACCTTCACGGCTCCGGGCCATAATTATTAGTTGGCAGATTACATTCACCATTTCTTGAAGGAGAGCAGGACACTTTTTCAGCATAAATTGCTGATCTGCAAAATAACGAAAAAGTCTGAAACAAATCATTCCGCTTTTATAATTAAAGTATCTTTATCAATTTAACAAAAGACCACAACATTCACAGATTGAATGGAAGAGTTTCTCCTCAGCATTGTTAACTCAAAAGCCAGTCAGAAAACTCTAGAACAGATTTGATGATTGAAAGGTAATTTTCAGTCCTATGGTTTGGGGCTTCAATATAGCTCAATTCCCAGTATTTTCTAGAACAGTCTTAACTATGATTAAGAACATTTATAACTTTATTCTTAGAAAGGGAGAACAGAAGAACTGCAAATTCCCAAAGAATCCAGAACTTCAGAGCCATGGGGGCCGGATGAGCCTCCAAAACGATTCTCATAAAAGAATCTTGAAACCTATGTCAGGCCTATCTCCTAAATTATTCTGAACACCATGTAAGAATGGAGTTTAACTAGTAAAGAACGTCTTTGTAGACAGACACTGTGTTGTTTTAGAAACTATCTATATGGGATCAAACAAGTTGTAAATAACAACTTGAAAGATTACAGAGGAAATTTAGTGAGCTTATGTGAATAGATGAGAAAATACAGAAAAGGAGGGTGGGAAGGGCCATGCAACTTAAAGAATACAAGTAACGTCAACGAATTGCATGGGTAGAAATTGTTGAATTGCTGTTATGTTCTGCTGTGCATACACTAAAAAACAAAGTTTTTTTTAAAAAAGAATTTTCTTGTGGGCAGTTAGGTTTCTGTAATTATAACGAAGGATAGCTCCAAAGCCTAAAACTGAGAACAGTAATGTCATTAATGTCAATAATGAACATTAATGTCAATTAAATGCCAAGAGAGAGAAGTACTACTTTCACTAATACTACACAGAGCAACTCTTCTAAGATCATTCACCATTCTTAAAGTCAAAAACAGCTGTTTCCACCACACACCACTGGCTAAAATGGAGATGGGTGTTTATCTATACAGAACACTTGCAATAAAATTATTGGTTAATTGTTGACTTATAAGTGGGGAGGTGGAGTGGGAGATTTCATTTCACAAGGAAGACTTATTCCCTAGGATAACCACATTCTTCTCAAATTTCAACTAAAATAATGCAGGTGAAGAGAAACTAACACAAATTGATGACATCTTTAGAAATATTACTGTTCTAATTTACTGCTGTTCATTTAAAACAGAATGATTCCGCCATCCATTGTTCACAGTGGGTGGTGGTGGAAGAACACTGAGATCAACGTAGTAAAACCATTTTTTAAACAACTTGTCATTAGGAATTTTTGTATAATCTTCAATCAACTAAACAGTTCCCATATAGAACATTCTGTCACCTTGAATTCTTAAATTTTAACATTTGCCTAAACATCTGACTTACTTAGACCTTCAAACTGTGAACTAATTATGTAGCATATAGATTTCTTTTTAAAAGGTCCTTAAGCAATTAAGTATTTGATTGCGCCAAAAAGAAAAGCTACAAAAACACGGTAGTATGAGATCTACTTAAGTTCACTGTGCTGGTCCCATTAAAACCCTGTAGATAGTAGAATCACAAATACCTTCTTCAAGTGTCTCAGGAATTTTCATTCTAGCAAGGTGAGACAGTAAAAGAACTCTGGCCTTCAAGCTGTATGGGCAGGTAAGTGGAGGCTCATTCTTCTTTAAGTTAATGCTGCCAATTTCTCTGATTAGCTAAAGTAAATAAAATAATTATTCAAATATATATACTTAACAAAACATTAGCTTTAGCATTTAAGTGCTCACCATGGAATTTGGGAGATTGGCCTAACCTGTGGTATTAGAATATTATCTGTTGGCCTGCTTGTGGCATCTTTATTATACTGAGGATCAAATTCAGAGGCTCCAGCCAAAACCATGAGTAGACCTATGAAAACACAAGAAATCTGAAGGTAAATAGATTTACTCATCTATTCATTTACAAATTTCTAAAAATTGAATTTCTAATATATTTTAAAAGTACATATCGATTACATATAAATAACTCAATCTGACTAAAATCACAGTCACCTAAATTTACTTACGTTTCATGTCCATATTCCGGGTTTTATAAACAAAGTATGTATAAATCTGTGTTGTGCGTATTAGAATCTGGTCTCCACTGTAACGTATTGAGCGATACCACCAAGAGCCCTAAAATGCAAAATTAAACAAGAGTAACACCTGAACACTAAAATGGATTTGAAGCTTGATTCAAAATGTTTAGTCATATTTTCTAATAATTCATAAAATAAAAGGTCAAGCTTTAAAATGTCACTTGGTTACATATTTCAAATTATTTTCTTCTAGCTTTATTTATATGAATACTTACAAATCTCTAAAACTGTGCATATTAGAATCTGTCAATGGGTCACAGCCTGATGACCCTTATGGGCATGGCCTTCTCATAAAGAGGGTCCTGGGAACCAACCCTTTTCTCTTTGCCTTCACCTTCATGCTGGCAGGCCCTGATTGCCACCAGAGCCCTGTAATGAACTGCGCCATTGGTTCTACACAACTTGGTACCCACCAGCCTGTGATCATCCCACATTCTGCATCACTGCTTATGACTGTGAGTCTGAAGAGGGACTTATGGACTAGTATCAGACTTATGAAATTGAATTGGACTAGATGAGGATGCTTTCTTGATACATTAATTAATTCTTGATATAAAGCTTTCTTACACATGGGAGTCACTGGATTTGCTTCTCTAGTCAACCCAGCTTAACACAGAAGCTTTTAATATTGTAAAGTGAAGCTTATACATATTTTTTTTCAATTCTTTCAATTTGAGAAATTCTGAATATGTTCTCCCTTTGGTTTTCTAACTGCAGGTCTTTTGCACATTTCACTACATAGTTTACTTTATATTCTCAAGCCCCCTCTTGAAATCTATTCAGCTCTTTCTGCTCACTGTCTCTTCCATTCACTTGAGCTTTTCTACATTCAAGAGCAACCTTCAGAGTCCCATCTGGCACTCATTTTGGTCTTGTTTCCTTATTTTTTAATGATGCTTTGCTTTCTTCATGCCTAATGCCCTTGATGTCATCCCACGATACATCTGTTCTATGGTAATCAGTGTTCAATGCATCAACTCTATTCTTTAGTCTCAGGTGGCATACTCAGGTTACAGTTTGTCCCCTCCTCGAGGGTCAAAATTTTCCAGTTTTAATTTTCATCAGTTCTACCTTGAACTTGCACATGAGCAACCGATTCTGTTCTGCAGTTGGCTCCTGGAGTTGATGACTGATGACACTGAGCATCGTCATCATCTCTTTCCACAGATGTAGTTGATTCGATTCCTATGTATTTGCATCAGTGAAGTATACATATATGTAGTCTAGGTTGGTATTTCTAAGGAGTAAGTTATTAGTCTTGCAAAATTCTGGCCACCAATCTCTACAGTCATTTCTATCACTGAAGCCTTATTTCTCATGGCAATGGCTTTGGTTTGGGGTTTCTAACTTTCACTTTCGAAATACCACTGATTACCAGTGCATCTTGATAAGGTGCTGGATCAATTTCACTCAGAAGATGAGAAAAACCTTAAATTTCCTCATCTTTTGAATTAATGGTTGGTGTGTAAATTTGAATGACAGTCACATTAACTGCTTTTCCCTAGAGGCACATAGATATTTTTAATCACCGACAATAATATACTTCAGAACGGATAATGAAAGGTTCCTTTTGACAGTGAACACAACACCATTCCTCTTCAATATGTCACTCCTAACACAATAAACTATATGGTTTTACCTGATACAAAGTGGCCACTAACACTCCATTTCAGCTTATTAATGCCTAGGATATGCATATGCAAGTGTTGCTTTCATTTTTGAAAACTACAATTTTTCTTGATTAATACGTCACATTCTACATTCTAGCAATTAATGGATGTTTGCATCTGCTCCTTTTCATTGTACGTAATGCCACATCAATAAATAACAACTTGAAAGCTTATTCCATTCATGTCATTGAGGTCTACTTTAACTTGGAGGGAGCTCTTCTTCAGATTATTTTGTGTGCTTTCTAATCCAAGGGTCTTAACCTCTAACATTATACATAATGTTTTAGTGCTGCTACACATTAAAAAAATTAACATAATGTTCCCCTGCTACAGAGAATGTTTCCACTGGCCATTTTTCTAGAAAGAGATCACCTGCTTCTAGTCTGGAACCTCTCCTAAAACTGGCCCACCATGAATGACCTTGCAGTCACTTGAAGTAACAGTGACATAGTTTCCAGCTGAACACTTCACATGGATTATATTCTATGCAAGTTAGCAATTTACAGTCTAGTGCAAATTATGCTCTTGGGGAACTCCAAAACACACCAATAATTCCCTTTCCAAAAGTGTCAATAAAAGGAGCTAGCACTTACCACAACAACTGGAAGGATAACCATAAATGCCAATCCATAAACAAGTAACACCTAGAAATGAAAAGAAAATAAGTATGGTCTTCATCAGAGAATTTATAACAGCATTTATGAAGACTTATTTTAAGGCTTACAATACAGTAAGCAGTACTCTTCATGTTTAATTATAAGGAAGGTCCTGTCAGTAGTCTCTCTTTTGGAGACAAGGAACATAGAGGTTATATAACTTGTCCCAGGGTCAAGTAGCTAGCAAAGTGGTGGATCCAGAATTTGAACCCATGCAGTGCAATCCTAAAATCTATGCTCTGACCCATTATAATAAACTATTTTTTAATTTGCTACTTCCAACCTTCTATCTATAACCCCAGCAAAACACGGTTTATAAATTAAATCATCTTCCAGTCAGGTCCAATCATACCTGCAGGTAGTCCCCCTGCTCCTACTCCCATCTCCCCCCCTCCCCACTGCCCCTAAATTCCATTGCCATTCAATGGATTCCAACTCAGAACAACCTCATAGGGGAGACTAGAACTGACCCATAGGGTTTCTGAGACTGCAAACCTTTACAGAACAGACTGCCTCTTCTTTCTCCTGTGAAATGGCTGGTAGATTTGATCTTCCAACAGATAGAAGCCAGTGCTTAACAAACCACTGGGATATCAGGGGTCCTGGCAAGTAATCAGTGCCTTCAAATTAAATGATAAGAAGCCCTTGGCTAAAATGGCTCCTTTGCCTAAATACCAAGGAGCCACTTAGTAAGATTCTGTTTGCTAGTAACCTGTCTGGTGAGCTGATTTTTCTCCTACCACTTCACTCCACTCTGATAGTTACCTTTCTCTTATTTCCTTATTACTCTCACCAAATAACCCTTAACATGATACACATGCTTATATGAAGAAACTATATACTCCTGAAGATAATAAAATTTAACCTGTTAAAAAAATAAGATTTAATAGCCAATTTCCAAACAAATTACAATGAGACTGTGGGATCATTTTTCTTAATTGCCTCAGAGATAGCTTTTAATTATTCTCAATCAAATGAAGCAGGAAGTCACTATTCCTGAACTGTAAAGGTTTAAGATCAATCTTGGTGTTTTAAAGTGGCAAGCACCTATACCTGATTGAGGTCTGCTATCCTAGAACCAATGGAAGCACCACAAGGAATATATACTAGTAAGCTGCCAGACATCGAGATTCAGTTAGCCTGGGTAAGGTAAAGGAAAGATTAGTAGTTTTCCAAAAGAGTACACCAAGGGTAGGGTCCAATCGGGCCCAAAAGAAGAGACCATGTTCAAAGAGAGAAATTATTGTTTTAAAATTATTTTTAGAACACACTGCCCCAAACCCGCAGCCTTATAATAGAAACCAATTTGTTCTCCGTTATATAAAAACTGTCTTCACAGTTTAAACCAGAAAACAAAACTGTAAAAGCCACTCTACATATTCTGAGTAAGCAAAGGTTATAGGTGATTTTTTGTTTAAAATATTCCTGTGTATTTAACAAATTTTCTTCAAGAAGCATTAAATTTTAAAATAACATACCATTATCTATTTGAAATACCAAGATACCACACATAACAAAAATTGTATCAAGTACACTGTGTTTTATTTAAAGACACCCACCAAAATTGAATTTTTCTGGTCAACTATCCAAGCTGGCAGGGCAATTCCAAAACTTGTAGCTGAAATAGAAAGAATATAATATTTCTAAATAAGCTATTTTCAGTTTTACCAATATTGATAAACTAAAATTTTACTCCAACAAAAAAACCTTTGAGAAGGACTACTGTACGTATTTTCCCAGAACACAAAAGTTAAAAATATGACTTATTACCTGAAACATCAAGTTAAAAGCCCAGGTGGTGTAGTGGACTACGCATGCGTTTGCTAACCATGAAGTCACTCCCACCTAACGATCAGCCACTGCACAGGAAAAAGATGGGGCTTTCCACTACTACAAAGTCACAGGCTTGGAAATCCCCAGGGGCAGTTCCATTATACCCTATAGCAGTGGTTGTCAACCGGTCGTTACGACCCCTTTGGGGGTTAAACGATTCTTTCACAGGGGCTGCCCGATACATAACAGAAGCAAAATTACAGTGATGAATTAGCAACAAAAATAATTTTATGGTTGGGGAGGTCACAACATGAGAACTGTATTAAAGGGTTGCGGCATTAGGAAGGTTGAGAACCACTGCCCCATAGGGTAACTGGGAATCTGAATCAATGGAAGTGAGGTTCTTTGTGAGTTCCTTTTTCTTATAACACTTGAAAACTCTTTTACAGGTCCTGAATTTATATAAACACTATACATATATGCCAAAAAAATTTAACTCACTTAGGAAAGAGAGCTTCACTCAATTTCTATCAATCACAAACTAGAAATGAATAGTAATAGTGACTACTCATCTCTTTTAATCAATCTTCGTTGTTATCTTTCAGTTTAAAATGAAAGTTAAAGTGAACCCAATTTGAGTATCTGTTGAACATGGTTGTAATTGTCCTAAACATGAATGAAAAAAATAAAATATACCCCTTTTAATCTAATTAACATTGTCATTAACATAACCTAATCAATATAACTTTTTAATCGCTAACACACCTTGAGGTCCATCTGGATTCCCAAATTCTTCCCAATTTTTCCGGGATTCTTCATCAGTTAAACTAGCAGCAAAAGAAAAAAGTTTCAAAATTAAAAAGATATATCTGAAAAATAAGTACTTTACACATAAAAATTCACTAACTAGGGAGCACATTCCTAAAAGATACTAATGTCAAGGAACCAAGAAAAGCCTCTGATGAGGACAGCATGGAGGAGTAGGTAGTGTGCTGTATGGAGCAGGAAAGGCATGACATGCTGCATTCAAAGGAAATGTTAACTACTGGGCCTTAATACAAAGTCCTGTGTGACCCATGTGTACTCAAGTTTAGTCAGTTCCAGCCAGAAGATGAAGCTTTACCTGAGACTACATTTTCTGAGAAAGCAAATAGGGAGTATAACAACAACAACAAATCACTGACATGAAATCAATTCTTGATGTGACATCCTGTAGGACAGAGTAGAACTGCCCCCTTTAGGTTTACGAAACTGTTTAAGTCTTTACAGGAGCAGCCAGCCTCATCATTCTCTCATGAAGTGGTTGATGAGCTCAAACAGCTGACTTTGTAGTTAGCAGGCCAACACATAGCCTACTATACCACCAGGGATCCTTAAGGAGCAGTATAGGTCATTTCCTTATACCCACATTTTCTTCAATGACTACATACTGTCCTTTAATCATGATTTTTTAAAATATATGAACTAAATAAACAATGGTGGCTCTATCCAATATAATGGCACCGCATTCTCAAGGAACAAATGAATACCTATAAAGAACTCCTCCGGCAGAACGTGTCATTTGTATTTGTGCAGAGATCTAATTTTCTGTAAGCCAATTGCCAACAAGGCTAAGAAAATGCCTGCTAAAGGGACTGCGCTTCCTAATTCGGGCAATATGAAAGGGACAGAGTGATTTTTAAACATCTAAATATAAATGAGACCTAAGCGATGGCTCAAGGAATAGAATCAGAAAGGTCTTACCCCAGGCCCCAGAGCAGAGGTTAAAGAACATCAGAAGAAAATGCAATTCCTTCCCGAACTGTACAACGTAATTAAGGAGACAGGGCAGACACACACGGCCGATAATATAATAAGGAATGCATTCTTATAGACCAATTGGCAAAGGATTATGTCCAAATCGAGTTTTAACCATTATTTCTATTTCCCAGAATGTAAGGACTTTAAGTTGATAAGTATTTTCTACTCAACTAAGCCCCAAGCTGAGAGGAACAATGCAAGAATGCCTTTATACAACAACAAACAGTATACTCATCAATGTATCAATTTAGTCCTTCCTAAGAACAGTTGTCTTGGCAGCTTTAGTCCTTATTTGCCTATAATTTTATTTCCACTATTTGACCTAAGAACCCAGTAAAATACAGGCACCAATGAATAGTAGTAGGCCATACAAAAACTGAAAATGAAGAATAATTATTCTACGACTCTTCTCCTAGTAAGAAGAGTAGTTACTAACAAGAAATGGCTAGTAAAGCCTGGTGCTAAGATTTCTTTTCTTCTACGGGAGGCACAGGAGCCCTGGTTACCTGGTAGGCTGCAAACCTTAAGGTCAGCAGTGAGAACCCACCAGCTGCTTGGCAGGGAAAAAGAGAAACTGGCTGCTGCCATAATGATGACAACTGCGGGAATGGTGGGAGCCACCCTACTCTGTCACAGGGTGGCTGTGAGCTGGCAATAACTCAGTAGTTGTTATGAGACAGTTCTTGAAATACATGCCCCGATTTTCATGTTCATCCAACCCAAAGTTTCAGCTACTACTTCTCTCAATACCGTTTTCTAATCTAATTGTTATCATAAAAATAATGATTGCTGCCCCTTACAGACTTTCGGATGACAATACAGCAAACATCCCATACAGTGCCCTCACAACTCACATTAGAGAACACTACTGATTCTGCGGTGCACACATGCACACTCACAGTTCCACGAACTCATTCATTAAATCAGCATGGATAATGCCTGACAGGCAACCATGCTGGATATACTCAGTCAAATTAAAAGAATCCACTTTTTTCAAAGTCAATATGAGACGAATCACTGATTCCTTTGCCATGACACCTGGCTAACAATACTGAACATTTGTTCAAAGATTCTATGTAAATGAATATTGATCAAAAGGGTGGAAATACAGAATAGACTCTCAAATTCACATGGAATCCCTAATTTCGGAAGTTACAGATGGATAACTCCTGAAAACACTGCTCTGGGTTAATATTTAAATATTAAACTAAATACATCCCATGAAATTTTCTTCAAAGAAAACAATAATTAAGCTTACCTAGTAAAGAATGCACAGTGCTCTGGTAGTATTGTTGGGTAAGCATTAGACCACTACCTGCAAGGGTCGGCATTTCAAACCCATGCGCCACTCCCCTGGAGAAAAATGAGGCTGTTTGCTCCCATAAAGATTTACAGGCTCAGAAACCCTACATAGATAGTGCTGCTATGAGTTGTAACCAGGTTTGGGGTAGTAAAAAATGTCTAGTCATAAGCACTATGCCCTTTGAAAAAAATCTATCTACGTGGGGCCAAACTGACAAGAGAAATGACAAGATGAGGATGAAGCTAGAGGTGGCGGTGAACTGTCAGGAAATGTTATGGTACAGTTCTGAAAAGGAGGGTGAGAATGGTTGCACCACTCTAAGAAAGTAATCAATGCCACTGAATTGTAAATGACGAAACTTGGTCTATTTTCTGCTGAGTATATTCTCAACAGATAAAAGTAAATTATTTTTCAATATTATTTCAAAGCAATAAAAGTAAGTATGTGACCACAGCAAAAAGAATAAAGGTTGGATGCAAATATGACTGAGGGTACAGACCCGACTGAAAGGGCTTCCAAAAGTTCTCAGAAAAGTGGGATAATGTAATTTCCCCACAATCTTTGATGCCCCTTCATATATTGTGCTAGAGAGCACTTTGGTGAATAAAAACTAAATAACCACATACCCTATCATGCTTTGTTTGGGTTCAGATGATTAGAATGAAAACCATCTGATTCTTCAAACACTTACATAATGTGTTTACCCAAAAAAGGGAGAAGCAGCTTATTATCTATCACATGCTTACTATATGCAATGCGAGGAGCCCAGGTATTGTAAGGGGTTAGTCATTGAGCTAACCACGAGGTCAGCGGTTCAAACCTACCAGCCACTGCACTTATAGACTCGGAAACCCATAGCGGCAGTTCCAATGAGTCGGAATTGATTCAATGGCAGAGAGTACAGTATGTGTTGACACCTCAGAACAACCCACTAGGGTGGGTTTAGTAGTAACCTCATTTTCTACTAACCGTTATCCAAGGGGGCAAAGGAATGAAGTGTTTTATCCACACCTGTCTATTAAATGGGAGAGGATTCAAACCAGGTCTGTTAGATCCCAAAGCCATGTTCTTGACTACTACTCTATATTCTATTTCAAGAAACTTAAGAACCATAGGGCATCTCCAGAAAGTTTGGCTCTTAACTACTTGTAAAGATTTAAAGTGACTAGTAATGATTACATAGAAACACCCTCAAGTACATTCCCTACCTGCAAATACCCCCCAAAATGGCAAGGATATCTCCCAATTAACGTCATCCCAAGCCTGTGTCTTTCAAGGAAAGACAGCACTCTGCCTTTCCTCACATTCCACACAACCTCTACTCAAATATTGCCAAAGAATCAAATCACAGGGACAAATTCAGTCATTGGGAAAATATCAATTACATTTCGACTTAAGTAGTTAAAATATATGCCCAAAATTACAGTAGGAACTGGAGAAAGCAAAGATTGAAATATCACCTCTGCGAATAAGCCTATACAATGGCAGTCAAAAGGGTCTTCGGGACTCCTTCAGCACCAACATTTTAAATTTCCAACTACCTGAACTGATGAATTCAAAGATCTGCACACAAATGATTAACTTTACGGCAGAGATTTTGGTACTACCGGCAGCCTTAAAGGCACCAACAGCAGATGAAAATAGCACATATATACCATTATAATCCCAGAAGTAAATATAATTGGAGGGGGAAAAAACCAAGTTTAAAAGAGCAATTGATTTGTTACTTATTAGTGCTTCAGTATAATACCATCCCTAAAACTTAAAGTACTTAAAAGCAATGTAGTTTTAGCATAATATGTAAAAAATCTAAGACCAATGATGCAATAATATTTTTAAGCTCAATTACTGCTAAGTTTCCAAACATAATTCTATTCCCTGACTTTTGAAGAGTCATATATTTGGTTGCTAACAAAAAGGGTGGCAATTTGAGCCCACACAAAGGTACCTGAGCAGAAAGGCCTGGCAGTCTACTTCTGAAAAATCAGCCAATGAAAACCCTCTGCTGCACAGTTCTTACATAAAGGCTCCATGAATCAAAACTGGTGACTGGTTTCACATCTTATTGAGACTATTAAACTCTATGAGCCCTCATTCTTAGGGGGGAAAATGTACATGTACAATTACACATAAATTCTCTATACAATCCAGGGTTCTCAGATTATAATCTCTGACCTAGAGAATGTCTTTACTATATTTTATGAGTGACTGTGTAAAGGCTGTGTAAAATTCACATAATAATGTGTAGGAACATATCAAAATAGACCCTTTCTAAAAATTAACACATCACATAAGGTAGTCTAGAGACAAATGACTCTCCCATGTTATCACTATCTGTCCCCAACCAAGAGCTTCAGAGTCCAAAGCCTTTATTAGGGCTGTCGTCAGATAATTCCCTTTCCCTGCCCCCACAGCCTGGTTGAATGCAGGTGGGCCTCTCTGGCCTGACTGGCCTCCAACCAACAGAGTCATCTCAAAACTGCTCAGTTATGTAGTCTAGAGACTTTATCAAATACTTAAGATTACAAGAGAAATTTCAAGGTTTTGTGGTTTCTCTCTCAGGAACCATAGAAAAAGGCAAGAATCTTTGAGTAAAGTTAGTTTTAAACCCAAAGACAGTACTTCTCAAGCATTTATCAGTCATGTGCCAGTCAAATAGATTGTTATTATACTGGATTATCTTATTATTTGCGTGATGTTTCTAAATTATCCCATAAAATTATGTATCAAGTCTTCAAAAAACAGAAACTCTTGTGTATTTTATTCCTTAAATCAATAGAAGGCCTCTGTGGGAATGTAAATATCATGAGTCCTGGAGAAGTCCGCTAACTTTTACCTCTTGTAATAGTAAGACCCAAGGAATTCAAATTTCTTATACAGGTAGTATCCAAATTATGATGAGGTTCTGGTATAATAACTCCATTAGAAGTTGGTTCTGACATCAAGTCTAATATCTCATTTTTCACTATTATTGCCTTTTATTATTAGTATCTTTACAAATCGATTTTGGAGGGTTTGGGGGTTGGCGTGAGAATTATAACGAGCAAATTACATGCAGCAACACTTCAAAAAGTACTTATTACTATCAAGATACACACACACACACACACACACACACGAAAATAAATCCCAGTCATAAGGACAGTAACTTTTTTAAAAATCATTTTATTGGGGGCTCATACAACTCTTATCACAATCCATACAACATTCATTGTGTGTCAAGCACATTTGTACATGTATTGCCCTCATCATTCTCAAAACATTTGCTTTGTACTTGAGAAGGACGATCTTTTAATGCACACCAAGACTACCTGCGCTCTATATTTTGTTTCTTGAAGTGTGCACAAAACGTTCCTGAAAATTTATACATTCACAAATAAATTATTCACATACAATGTATATGTGAATAATATGTGAAAAATTTGTGGGAAAAGCCCCCTTTTATATATGTATCTTGACAATGAAATACTGTTTGCATTCCAAGACAAGAAACATATAATTTGCAAGTTCTGAAAAGACTTTTGTAGCATTTAAAAAGGAGGTCTTAAAACTTCATGGCATCACAACAAGTGTAAAATGAATAGATATAATCTAGCGTGAATTCTAAAGAGTTGAGACATTTTTAGGTATTTCAATTTTACTTTTCATTTTACCTAAAACTAAAAAATAAAACATCTTTAAATATGAGGGGGTACCCGCAAAATAACGGAGCTTCTATAGCACACATTTTTGCTGTTATGCAAACAATGAGTAACTCACTGAGTTAGTGCACCCAGTGGTGTCACCTGGGAAGGTTCTTTCTGGTCAGGTTGAATTTCTTCATAAAAGCAGTTTTGCTTGAACCTCTTTTTTTGTGATGACCGCTTTAGGAGAACAGTATGCAGCTGTGAAATTTTGTTTCCTGCTTGGAAAAAACGCTGCAGAAACTGCTCTGATGTTCAACACAGCTTACAAGGGCAGGGCTATGGGAAAAACAAGTGTACGAGTAGTTTTTCGTTTCAAAAAAAGGTGAAAAATCAACTGATGACAAACTTCATTCTGGACTTCCATCAACTTCCCAAATGGAAGGAAGAAAATGGTGACTTGTAGTGCATTTGGAGTTTGTTCCACCATGTCAGACTGCTAATCAAGCTTTCTATTCAGAGGCTCTGAAAAGATAGCGTAACACTGCACAATAAAAAAGGCCTGATTTATGGCACATGGGGGACTGGTGCTGTCACCACGACAACATACCTACTCATACAGCCATTTCAGTGCACCAGTTTTTGGCAAAAGGCAGCATGCCTCTCTTGCCCCGCCACCCCCCATCTGACTCACCTGACCTTGCTCCTTGAGACTTCTTTTTGTTTCTACGAATGAAGAGGGACATGAAAGGACAGCAATTTGATGAAGTAGAGAGGTGAAAAAAAGAAAGAGGAAGGTGCTGGCAGCCCTCCAAACCGATGAGTTCAAAAAAATGTTTCCAAGAATGGAATTGTATATTTGACAATGTATTAAGTGTAATGGAGAGTACTTTGAAGGTGATAAGGTTGTTTTGTAAAAAAAATTTAAATACATAGCTTTGAAAACAAAATTCAGGGTTTTTGGATACCCTCTTGTAATTTAAATGCCAACAAGCTACACAAATCATGAGAGAAATGAATCAAGCTTAACAAAAATCCTAGAAAGGAAAATAAAGTATAAGTATACCTTCTTCTCATCAGAATACAGTACTTAGAAAATGGTTCAATTAACCTATCACTTACTACTTAGTTTAACTAAGTTCACATGACAAAAGCCAACTTAAAATTGGGGTGTAATTAAATTATCACTACAGGGCTCCCAGGTAGTTCCATAAATGAAAGACTCAACATATGAAATAAGGATTTAATAAATGTATGTAACAACTACTTTTATTTCATTAAAATAGAAAACTATCTTTACCACTCATTTTTTTAAAAAAAAATATGTAATGGGTTCTATCATACTTACGCTGCATAAGCTTTTGCTATCCTCATGAACATAACTTCATCACCTCCTTTATCTGGATGATATTTAAGTGACAACAAACGATATTGTTTCTTAATTTCTGCTACTGTTGCCCCCTAAAAGGAAAAGCTTTGTCATAATGCAGTAAAGAAATAATCCATTCTTTTTTGAACTAACAACATGAATTACTCAGTAAATATTTTCAGAACTGAAATGTTTCATTCTGTATATTTTGTCTCATATTTAAAATATATTTTAAAGTAATTTATTAGCCAATTCTCCAGGACTCATACATCTTTTATGTTGCTTTCTTATGGCATAAAATTGCCCTGAAACCTTTTACTCTTAGAAAGTCTCTCTTTTGAACAAGATCACCACAGTAAGAAAAATTAGGTAACAAGCAAACCTCTTTTACAAAGCAGAAAACTAGAAGACAAACATACTCCTTCCTTTGTAATATGTCAATCTATGAATACTGAGCAGAGACTGAAAATAAAAGGATGGAATCTCGGAGGGAAAAAAATGGAGCCTGCTAAATTCTGCTTGACTACTAAAACGCTATGAAAACCCAGAAAAGACGGTTTCCAGAACTCATTTTATAATCTAAAAAGAAGCTAAGCGATCACATTATTCATTTCAGCTCTAAATTCTCTGATAGGCCTAAAAGACTAACTTTCTATTGGGACCCATCTAATAGGCAATGTCCAAGGTTATGCTGGATTTTTATGGCACCGACCTCCACATCAGTACTTTAGAAGACTCCAGATAGAACTTGACACATTGCCCAAGTGTCAGCCAACACAGGGCATGCAATTTCTATCACTCATCTAGTTAATATCTTCATCTCTCAAAATCCAGACTCTAACCCTACCATACCAAAATTCACGGATGCTTAAATAGCTTATAGACAATCGTATAGTATCTTTGAGGTGCTGTTCCGACCAGTTAATTGCATTCTTTTCTCAGCCAAATATTTTTGTCCCACAGTTGGCTGAATCCGAGATGCAAAACCTGCATATACCGAGAGTCAGCTGTATAAATGAAGGTGTCGGTTTTATTTTGCATCAAACCAGTTTTACTTATGGCTTTAAAAAATATGCTCACTTCTCATCTTCGAAAGTCTTCCATTTCAGCAGTTACAGACCAATCCCTAATAGAATAGTAATCAATAGCTCCAGCTTGAAAACTATATACACAAAAAAAACCTAATTTTCAAAAAGTTAGCTGATCAGAGTTGAATTTCTTTAGGCATGACTTTATTTCTTTTAGGATGTAGGCCTATAGTATTTTCAAGAAATCATTAAATCAATGTGCATTAATTAAAAAAATTACTTACAGGATCCAAATGTAATACTTCGTAAGGATTGTATTCTTGATATTCTCTGTCTGTTTTTGAAACTTTGTATGCAAGGAATAAAAACAATGCCCATCCTGCAAGCAGAACTATTTTCCTGTTTAGGAAAAAGTGAAGTATAAATTAGTACATCTGTAAGACTTCCTTTTAAAAGTCTACAAACAATAGGGCATAAAACAATCCAAGGCAGTTCCTTAACATGCAACTACTGATTTACAGACTCAAATCTTGCAAACTGTTACAGCAGGGACAGTTTTTTCCCCTTTGAATGTGTCAGAATCCTGTGAGTGCTCTGTGTATAACATATCCTCTCATTACTATTCGTAGAATTTTAAGTACAGAAGTTAATTAAAATAACTTACTTAGCGGACCCATTAAATCAGATCAAAGTGTTTAAATGCACAGTTTTCAATAAACCATTTACTGTAAAAAAAGAATTGATCTTTACCTAGTAATTCTACCTTTATTTAAACAAAACACAACAAAATCATGTTTTAGCCTTTAAAAGTTTGAACATAAGTCACATACATTTACTGAGGGCTCATAAACCATAATACATTCATAATAGGTTAAAAATGACATAAAACAGCACCTAATTTGAAAACACTAACTTCTTCTAGTATGTTCTATTTAGTAAAAATATTTAAGATTACCTGTGTTCTAGCAACTAACAATAAAAATAGAGAAATGTAATAAAAATCTACATTCTAAGTATTAACCAATTAAGTATTAAAAGCCTGAGAATAAATAAATAAACAAATGTATAAAATAATTTAGAAAATCAAAGCCTGGAGAAGTGCATACTCTTTTAACTATTAATACATCACTCTTCAAAAAACTTCTAAGGGAATTAGGAAGATCTAGGTGTAAAGGGTAAAAGAATAGTTACAAATATATGCAGGGGCTTCAAAAAAGCTTGTGGGAAGATTCTAGTTATCTTTTAATTCCTTTTTTCACAAATTTTTTTTAAACTCCATCATAAATAATGGAGAAGAAAAACAGCAAAGGAGTGAGGGACTCGGTTAATGTATTGTCTGTTGCAATGGTTAAAGCACTCAGCTACTAAGTAAAAAGTTAGAGGTTCAAATCCACCAGCTACTCCACAGGAGAACCACGAGACAGTACGGTTCCATAAAAAGACTACAGTTTTGAAAACCCTATGTGGCAGTTGTACCCTGTCCTAGAGGATCACTATGAGTAAGAAGCAATGCAAACACAACAGGTTTTTATTTTTTGTTTTGTTTGAGGTGGGGGCCAAATAATTAATTAATGGCCCCTCACTACAGTGAAATGCAATACACACATTTCTCACTTATCTTGTTACTCAATATTTCGCATTTACGGTAATAGTTTTAAAAGTCTGAGTATTTTGCATCTTAACAACATACATATGGCATTAACACGTCAAGGGAAGGAGAGTATTAGCTATGTGTTATGTGTCAGCTTGGCTAGGCCATGATTCTCAATAGTTTGGCACATTATAAAACATTTTCACATAATGCCAGTCAGTACATAATAGCATGAAACCTAACCATGTCGATAAGTGAACAGTGGGTGTTTTGTCACTAAAAATAGTATTTGTTGTGGAAGATTGTCCACCTTGTTATTACTGGCAGGTAAACCAAAAATAAGGTTTTCCAAAAAAAGGTTTAATAATAGTTAAAACAATTAGTTACTATCATTGTGTGATTAAAGAGTTTGCCCGTGGGAAGAGCTGGAAGAAATCATATTAAGCGAGGTAAGCCAAACGCAAAAGGACAGGTAGACAGGTGAGTCCCCTGAGGTAAGTACAGTCAGCACACCAGGAATAGAAGAATAAACACCTATCTCGCAATAAACGGGTGCAAGCATAGACAGTTGGAGGGAGGGCAGGCCACACCTAGGGAGGTACATGAGGGTCCAACATAAAGATGGGGAAGGGGGGCAAGTGGAGGGAGAAGCAGGGTGGGGAGACACTGAGTTGATGGCACAGGGGGAACAGGGCACTAACCAACCCAGGGGGAGAGTATTGGTTGTGTCCCCACAGAACTGGAACGT